TGGCATCTTCTAGGCTGAGTTCCAAGAGCAGTAAGGCAAACTGACAGATTTTACCGTGTTTCCCCCAAAATAAGACAGGTTAATTATATTCCTCAAGAAGACACCCTTACGTTTGATCAGGGATTATTTACACAGTACAACCAGCTACATTAATTCAAATAGAGTGAAGTCGTCTTCTTCTGGAACATCATCCTCACTCTCCAAACCCCGAATCCCATCCTGAATGTCTTGTGACTCTATTTCCTTTAGAACCACTGGCCCGATCTCTCCTGTGGAGCACTAGAGCTCTCACGGGGGGATGAGAAGGCTGCTCTGTTCTTTCCCGCTCCTCGACGACACGCATGGGTTGTGCAGATGCGCTGCCAGCCACGCCCGTCATAGGCTGATTTTCATAGCCACGCCCATCACTAGGCTGATTTTCATAGCCACGCCATCACTAGGGCTGATTTTCATAGCCAGCCCATCACTAGGCTTATTTTCATAGCCACGCCCATCACCAGGGCTGATTTCATAGCCAGCCACCACTTAGGGCTGATTTTCACAGCCACGCCCATCACTGGGCTGATTTCATAGCCACGCCCATCCACTAGCTGATTTCACAGCCACGCCCGTCCACTAGGGCTATTTGGGGTAGGCTGGTATTGTCCCCACCAGTGTCATGGTAACGTCTGGTGGGCGGTGACAGGCAGAAGGGGCCTGTGTTCTCCACTTTTGTCTAAGGTGTCCCTCCCTAGACTGTCCTAAGCTCCTCCTCCTCACCTGCATATCTACCTGCCCAGCAACTACAGACACGTGAGTTTGTAGCCCGGCCATATAATCCGATCCTCAACTCTATGGGAAAAGCATCCTGAAATCCATCTCATTACAGCCCCTGGTTATGGAACAAGCCTAATCTTACTGACGTCCTATCAGTAACTATGAATGCGACCTCTGAGAAGCATGTGTCCTTGAAGCTAGAAATAAATTTGCAAGTGACGAACCCCTGGAATTTTCTCATCAACTTCCAGTTTGCCCATGTGCAGAACCGGCCGTTCCACGTTTCAGAAATTGGCATTTGGCTGAATTCTGTGGCCTGAAATTGGTGCAGACTGCTTAAACAAGTGGACATTCATCAAATATTTAACAGATTCGTTTTTTTATTTTTTTTATTTTTTTTTGAGACAGAGTCACGCTTTGTTGCCCAGGCTAGAGTGAGTGCCGTGGCGTCAGCCTAGCTCACAGCAACCTCCAACTCCTGGGCCCAAGTGATCCTCCTGCCTCAGCCTCCCAAGTAGCTGGGACTACAGGCATGCGCCACCATGCCAGCTCATTTTTTCTATATATATGTTTAGTTGGCCAATTAATTTTCTATTTATAGTAGAGACAGGGTCTCACTCTTGCTCAGGCTGGTCTCGAACTCCTGACCTCGAGCAATCCTCCCGCCTTGGCCTCCCAGAGCGCTAGGATTACAGGCATGAGCCACCGTGCCCGGCCAACAGATTCATTTTAAAGTAACCTTTGCAAGTTCTTCAATTTACTCTCTGGGCTTTCTTTCGTAAAAGCTGCTATTTTTTTCCCAATGAGAAGTTGTTTGGTGTTTACATTTTCACTCTATCAATTATTCAAAAATTTTATTTTTTGATCACTGTCACAATAGTAATTTGAGCCTCTGGCAATTGCTCTAAATTTGTGATTTCTTTATGCATACATCTGAAATAGCCTATGGATTTATAAAACACATCTTCTGGTCACAGGGAAGCATGATAGCAAACAAAATGCTAAATGACAATGTTGATTCCGTATTCTGGCAGTAAAATGCATTAAGATTTTACTGTTCAATAGGCTTATCCAAGGCCAGAGCCATATTAAAATGAGAATAACATTTGAATTCTACTTTTTTTTTTTTCCTCTCTCATAAAGTAACTTTTCTAAGACTTCAAATGGCTAGGACATCAGGAAGTTTAAATGGCTGACTTACATTTGAAGTCGGACAAATGAAAAAAAAAAACGCATCCAAATTGTGAACATTCTTAATAATCACTTAAGGAAGCTGTAACCGAAGCAGTTCTTCGTGCTATGAAAGGCAGCAAGAAGACTCAGAGAAGGAAGCATGCTAGATAGCAAGGACTTCGGCAAATGACAATGACATCCAAAACACAAACTGGTCAGAGAGGCAAAGCAAGCTTTTGGATTAGCAAGGTGGAAAAATGAAACAAGATGCACAGCACAATACAGACACTAACAGACAGCTGACATTGATCACAGTAACGTGCACTTTGTCACTAGTTGCAAGTGGGATGAGAACTGAACCCAGAGCATGCCGTGCAAAATGCACAACACAGCCAGCCTTGTGCCGGGGGGTGGGGTAGGGGGGGTCCTCTTTGAACCCTATATATGCAAGCCCAAATGACAGCCATGGTCATCTCTGGAAGGGTTCTATTAGAATCGACAGAAAATTTAAGACGTGATCGACACATCTGTTTTTTTTTTTTTTTTTTTTAAAAATCTCATCGATTTCCAATGACTGCTTCACCAACAATCGTTCAAAGCAATACCCTGGAGAGGTAGCAGATGAAGCAAGCCTTCATCTTTAGGCATGTTCTTAAATAGGACTATGGATCAATAATGGTGTGGAGGACATTAAAGTCTACCTTTAGCAGCATGCCTCTTAAGACACTCCTATTGATGGCAACAGGAGTTGGAATCCTCCCAATTGAGGGACGAACACCGTTCGACATGGTGTTCGTGAAACGCCTTGAAAACGTAGGCGAAGTGTCTATCACCGAGAAGCTTAAAAAAAAAAAAGTTTGTGTTTTAAAGGAAGAGACACAGAGCGCAGCCGTGTGTCTGGCTGGGTAGGGTGGGGACCCACAAACACGTCCTGCACGGCTCGGGGGTTCTAACCTGGAGGACAGACTGATGAGGTCTGCGGGCAGGTGGTCCCCATTGGTCACTTTCACTATCTCCCCTACTGCCACCTGCACGTCCCAGTTTAAAATAATTAAAATGGGGGGAAAAAATGAATAACAGAGAGAGAGAGAGAGAAAACAAAAACAAACAAATGGACAAAAAGAGACAGAAAGTTTGAAATCATTATAGAAAATAAGACACGTTCATAAAAATGTCTAATGCCGATTTTTTCAAAACTTATTTTGATCAGGTCTGAAGGTAATAACAAAATATCTGAAGTTTAAGAATGACTTAACTTGATTTTAGGGGGGGGGAACCCAATTTTTTTAATGTTCAAGGTGAACACTTTTGATTTTTAAAGTTTACTCATAAGCTTGCCTTTATCAAACGAAACCAAGAACGTATTTTATATACACAGCTACTTGATCTTATGGATTTTTTTCCTCTCTCAAATTCCTCAACTTCATGCCATCCACTGTATGTCCATTCCTAACCTCCCCCCAAAAAAGGAAAGAAATAATTATGGTTTTAAATTTTTGAAAAATGGAGTACGCTATACTTTTCCCTCTCCTCATCATATATCCTAAAAAAAAAAAAAAAAAAAAACTTTGTTGAAAATTTGATTATAAGACATTTTCAAAGTCAACTGCATAAATATCTTATTAACCTTAGTACAAAGTTGCAAAGACATGGGCCTAAGGAAGTCAGCCTAACGTATATCCGGAGCCTTTTATTTCATAATTAATAAAATTCAGATAATGCCTTGTTTTCAGAGGGTAAGCCTTTGAACCCAGAGAAAATTTTTCAGAGAGGGAAGGAAACAGACGTTCCAAGAATCTGTTTAGACTTGAACTAACAGCTTGAGTTATTTCACCCTATTTTATACTTCCTTAACACACAAATGTAGTGTTTATTAAATGCTAAAATTTCAGTTTCTTCATTTCAACATGAAAGCCAATGAAATGCAGTAACTTCCAACCATGTTCACGCTTTCATTTCAAACCACCATACAGAAAGATGCACTATTAGTAATTCATAACTGAAAAATATTGAAAGTTACAATGTTATAAACAGTGGTTTATTGTTACTGCTCAATGGTGCTCAGAAATGGTTGAAAATCACCATATTTATCTTGACAGTGGATGGAGCTAGCATAATGAAGGTAGTAGATTAGGAACACTCCAAACCCAGTTAGCTTGACTTCAGTTTTAGAAACTTACCCTGATAAAGTTATAAGCAGAGGAAACTAAGAAAGCTTGATTCGAAAACATCCATAAGGATTTTTCTGAAAACAAAAACTGACAGGCACACGGCACAAAAAAGATGCCAACTACAAACGGAAATACTGTACCTGCAGTTAACTGCAAACACCTGCAGTCTCACTTCTACGACTATCTGGTTGAGTCTTATTTGCTCAATTAAGTTGCACTAACTTGTCATGAATACAATCACTTTAAATGAAGACCTGATTAAATAGATTTTGAAAAAAAGGACACTGTCCATATTTATTTGTGGATTTTTACAAATAAAACTGTCCAAGGAAATGATGATAAACAACCTCTAAAATATTAAAAAAAAAAAACAACAAAAAACATTTCTTCTCAATTTGTGAGGACTAGTTTTGCAGTTTTGAAACCTGAAACCATTTGGAAGTCACATTCGTTAAAGGGTAACAGTGCCATACGTTCTGAATACTAATTCATGACTATCTTCAATATGAGTAAAACAAAAAAAAAAAATCCTCTAAATGAAGCAACAGAACTTAAAAGAAAGAGCAAAGTAATTTTTGGTGCTGTTGTTGGAAGAGGATGGCATTTCAAAACGTAGGATGACAAAAAAGGAATTCATCCTTTGTTTTTTTTTTTTTTTTTGGGTACCATTTCACCATAATGCTCGAGAAACTTTGCAGGGATCTATGACGACCATGACTGAAAGATAAAGTCAATAGAACCCAATCCGTGTATTATATAAACAAATGACCGGAAATTTTAGAGTAAGTGGTACACACACAAAAGTATCCGGCTACATCCAGAAGGAATGTAGAGTCTTAATGGCAACTTTTGGATGATAAGAGTACAGTCCCTATCCCTTATTCTACGTGGCAAACATGAAAGAGCCCTTCGAGTCCCATCAATTTTTTTAAGTAAAAATTCAAGAGGTTTAAAACGCTTCGTTTATTCTATTTCCTTGGAGAAGTGACAAGGGTCAATGCAGGGTAGAGAAACCATCCTCTACTCTGCAGGAGCATCTGCAGGTGTCTCTACCTTGATGACAGAAGTACTGTGTCAGCAGGTATATACTCTTTGCCTTTTATTATAACTACATCTCCAACATTTACCTGAAAGAAAACTGGGAATCGGTTAATTATCTGCATTGAAAGATACAGTTGCAAATACACAGCGCATGGCATTCAAGCACAGAATGAAGTCAAAACGGTTACTGGCAAACCAAGAACCACTTGTCTTCTCGAAACTGAACGAAATTATCTAGGGATGAGGCCAGGATTGGGGGGGAATCCTCTAAAAAAAAAAAAAAAAAAAAAAAACAACGAACATCTTTGTTTTAACGGCTATGTAATGTAACAAAATTAAACGATCCGTTTTATCCACTTAATCGACATCTCGACTTCTCACAGTCTCTCTTTGACATGAAAGTAAAAAGGAGGAATTTTTACCCGTTGAAATTTTTTTCCCTACTTCAAGAATTTCTTAATGCAGTTTTCTCAATACGACTGGAGAAACTAGCATAGATCTCATCATTGTTCCTCACAAGGAACCTTCTGAAATAAGTACTAGTTAAAATTCATAATTCAGAGAGGAAGAGAGTGAGTCTAAGATTATTTGTCAAGATAACAGTGAAGTGGAAGAACTTAGACTCAAACCCACATCTGACTGTCTGCAAAGCTTGATTTTTGTATAATTAAATTTAGTGGCACTATCACAGTATTTTAAATTAAAAATAAACAGCTTAATTTCTTTATTTTACCACCTGTTAGCATTTCTTTCTAAGCATGACAGGAAGACAAATTAGAGACATACTATGGCCAGAAACTGTTAGAATATAAGTGACAGGTTGGTCACATAGCTTCCGGCAAACACAACTTCAGCTAAGTAACAACTTGGCTTAAATTAGCATTGACCCAGTTACACTCACAGCCACTTCCATTATATCCTGGAAGGTGCCTTCCCTCTTAGTAGACAAATGAACCTAAAAATAAGTTTCACCACTTAATAGATGGAAGAAAAGTCTTTTTTCTTTCTTTTTTTTTTTTTTTTGAGACAGAATTCTCACTCTTGCTGCCCAGGCTAGAGTCGATGCTGGGCCTCAGCCCCTAGCTCACAGCAACCTCCCAACTCCTGGGCTCCAGCAATCCTCCTGCCTCAGCCTTCTCCGAGCCTAGCTTGGACTACAGGCATGTTCACCCCACGTGCCCTCGGCTAATTCTTTTTCTATATACTTCATTTAGCTGTCCAATAAATTTCTTTCTATTTTAGAGTAGAGATGGGGTCTGCTCTTCTCAGGACTGTTTCCAAACCCTGACCTTGAGCGATCCTCACAGCCCTACACCCTCAACCAAATGACATAAAAAACAGAACACACAAACGAGCACCCAGGCCACAGAAAAAAATCTATAATATAAATAAAGCTCCCTTATGTATCTTCCCCTTCCCTATCTTTATATGAAGGCTAAATAAGAACACACAAGAAAAGATAATATTTTAATGGAATTACAAATAAAAAAATATCAAAAGAGACAAGACCCACTCGATTACTGTTTTAATAACTAAGGGAAAAACAGTTACAAAAGATATGTGAAGGAAGATTTCTTTTTAATCATAAAAACAAAGAAATAGACTCCCACAGGGAACAAGAAACATCATAGAGATGACATGGATAAGAGAAAAAATATTAACTATCAAAAGCTAAATGTGAAAACTATTGCGACCTATCAAGAACATATCAGGGACCGAAAAAAAACCGGGAATACCACACACATAACTCCAAAAAAGGCAATAAAAGATAAATATATATATATATAATCAAGCACACAAAATACAACACACAACAAAATATAATATAAAAATCCAACTTACACATAGTCATAACCTAAGCCAACAATATAAAATAAATGCTTCCTAAAATTACATAATACCCAGCGCTCAAAGCAAACAAAAACCACACACGAAGACGGGACACCAAAAAAAACAATCCATGATGGGTTAAGGTTTCCTGTCCAGATTAAACGAACACTTCATAAACAGCAACACATCTGGGTGGCCATTTTTTTTTAAAATTTGCATTTTATATCAATATCATTCCATCAGCTAGGAATTGCTCTATGGTACAAAGACAGTTTTGTACCAAAAAAAAAAAAATCACAAAATGTTACAAAATAAAAAAGTACAAACTGCAAAAAAAAAGAAAAAAAAAGTACAAACCGTATTACTTAATAAATATGACTAAAAGTAGTTAAAGTGGCAATGAGAGATAGATTTTAGGTTGGGAACATTGTTTGACCCAGCAAACCATACAAGCTCTGTTTACGGACATTTCTACACATTAATACAGGGCAATCCTATTTTGCCTTTTTAAAGAATTTAAGAAGAATATTAAGACAGTATTCTCCTGCTCTAAAATAATTGCCAACGTTGGTTCCAGGCATTTATGCTATTAGTTAGCTTTGAAACATCTTAGTTGAATCCAAGAAGCTATATAAAGCAGGAGACTTGTCTTGTCACAAAGTTTTATGCCGTAGTATAAAGGGACAAAAAGTCCCTAAATCGATTTAGGACAAAAAAGTCCCTGAATCGATTTAGGACAAAAAAGTATTTAGGACACAAAGTCCCTAAATCGACTGCACTGCTTTCTGGCATCTTTATTCGTTGTAAAACAAAAGAAGAGCTTGTGGGTACTAAACTCAAGGAAACATTAACACCTTACATGTCTGCTTTGTCGAAGACTAGTTGGCCATATGAGGATGGTTTTAGATCTGGCATTTTCTGTTCTGTTCCACTGGTCAATGTCCCTGCTCTTGTGCCAATCCCAAGCTGTTTTAATTACTATAGCC